CACATGCGACCTTCTGGCACGGAGGGGACCCAAGTGTAAGGGAAAGCTATCTGATACGAATCCTCCTCGAGATATGGAAGACAAAACGTCCTAAGTCGTATCATTGTCAGTCGCTTATCGTCCGTTTTAGAATCATTGTCGTTTGTATGAAGCGCCTTTTCTGTTGTTTGTGACACCGTACCCTGATTTGGTGGCTCATGATCCAGTTCATGTGTTTCTTTTTGTCTTATGGCTGGTGTGGTGAGTGTGAGCGAGAGAGGTGATTGTTCAAGTAGTGAGGTGTTTGATATGGAGGAGCAGATGCGCGCACGCGCGTCTTTGCATACGTAATAGTATTTAAGTTGATATCATTGAACTTGTCCGTCTAGGAGATAATGACATTGTTGGTCCTCGGATCAGCTGTTTGTTGCTGAGTGGCAAGGTAGATGACCTGAAATATCATACTCTTGTACTTTTGTACCCAGTTACAGCTGAAAGCTCTGTAAGCACTCATATCTACTTGGTCTCGTCACTCGTTGTCATGCAGAATTGGTATTTGACTTTGAAAGTGAAATTCTATAAAAAGTGAAATGCTCTTGTTTTGGTGGTCTTCTCCAGCAGTTAGATATTATGACTATACTAAGCTTGTCATATCAAACATTTTTCGTAATTAATATTGTGTAAAATCTGAATGTCTCTTGTATTAATTACTCTGTGGAGAAGACTGAGGAGTAAATACAGGGTGGTAGATGCAGCAGATGTATTTACTTTCGCAAATTATTCTTTTTCTTTTTTCATTATTACAAGCCAAATATTTCGATTGTTACCGAATTATTTGGCTACATGATGTGACGTACTTGCTCAATAGAAAATAACTATAATATTTGAAATGTAATTTTTAGAATCACATTTACATAGTTTGGGTTTTAAAAAAAATCTCAGTAGTAGCACGGAGTCTGGAATTGTGCCCGGTATATGGCAATAGGCTCACCCCCTATTACATGGGACTCATAACATAAATAGTGAAAAGTGGGTGTTACATTGTACAGTGGCATAATGTGCACCTCTGCCTACCCCTTCGGGGATAAAAGGCGTGATGTTATGTATTTTCATAGTCCACAAAGTTCGGTTGCTTTTGGCTATCTTGCTACGTATACCTATTAGTCATTCAAAAAGCTAAATTACTAGTCCTTCTGTCCTAACTACATACAAATAGTCTAGCTGCCTGATACTGCTAACAAACGTTAAACTCATTTCCTTGCGTAACGGTGGAAAATTATGAAATATAATCTCAAAAATATTTTTCACAGCTATGACTCGCCCAATAACGCGGTCAGATCAACCGCTTCGTTACATATGTAGGTATGTGATGTCCTGTGTCTTATGCTATGTGAGTCACTCGGATTTCAATGGCTCAGGTCTAACACCGGTGACGTGTTGTCCAGACGTCGTGGCATCAGTCGTTTTATTCAGAAACAGCGTTTTGATGACTGACTGCATGATTTGCGTTTCAACAGTTAAGTACTTATGATTCCTATGGACTTTCTGAACTCAAAATTTCGTGGTATCTACCATAATGACATGTTTTTTAATCCCGAAAGAGATAGGGAGCAGCACAATGTAACGCCTGATTTTCACCAGTGTTGTTTTGAGTCCTATGTTCCTAATACATGCTGAGCCTATTGCCCTATACCAGCCACAATTCGATACTCTGTGCACGCACTTAGAAATTTTAAAATGACCACATTAACACCAGATTATGATGATGATGATTACGATCTAAGAAAACTAGCCTATTTATTTTTTTTATTTTACTAATGGCAGCAATAAAACCCACTTTATGATAAACGAATACCGTAGTTAAAGTACTCTTGCAACACTAGAGGTATCACAAAAGCGTTTTGGGCGGACGGACCACGTAGAAACTATTTAATTATCCCTGAAAATGATGTCGTTGTAAAAAGTGTGGGAGAGCCATGCTTCGGCACGAATGGGTCGGCTCGACCGGAGTCATACCACGGCCTAACAGAAATCCGACGTGAAACAACGCTTGCGTTGTGGTTCCTCGTGTGAGTGAGGTTACCGGAGGCCCAATCGCCCCAATCCCTGAATCCCCAACAATCCTCAATTGCCTAATCCCCAAAAGGAAAGATCCCGTTAACGCACTTGTAACGCCTCTGGTGTACCAAGTGGCCATGGGCGACGCCGAATCTTACTGTCTTCTAGTTTACCGGGTTATCCTATAAAAAAGGTGATTGTTGAGCCTCATTTCAATTGAAATGAAAATAGTACAACTCCATAAACCAATTAAAAAATGTAGCAAACGTAAATTCTATAAGTGACACAAATACTTAGCAACAAGTTAACGGGTGATATCCAATTATTATTGATCCGGCGTTGTGTGGCAACACTGAATACCAATGGGGTTACCATTTTCGTCCCATAGTTCCGCCTGGTGAAAGTGATACGAAACTATTAATTTATTATTAATGAGTTACAAAAAATTTCATGTGATGAAATTCTGTGTGTTTAAAACAGGCTGATTTTCAAATAGTTTGGTAGTCTATGCTTGTATTTGGTAGGCTACTGTTGTTGCTGGTTCATGGTTGAAGTGCTCGCAACATAAGTACGACTGCGAATCTCTGGTCCGATTCTTGGGTGGGGCAAAAAAGTACGACAATTCGGGGCTCACTGTTATTACTAGGATTTTTTTTAAATCGATATACATACACAAATAACCTCACGTCTGTCTTTCATCGGGCTCGCTAGGATTTTTTTTAAATCGCCATACATACACATCCTCACATCTATGGGGGTAAGCAGAGACTATGGAATGCCAATTGCTGCGATTCTTACATACCCTAATCTTATAATGCTTTGTCTAATTCTGGAATCGAAGTCACTTGCGACCATACAACAACCGTAGCAGTGACTTGACAATCATATATGGACACAAGTATTCTTACCACGACCATGATAACATCTAAATTTCCTAAGCATGATGCATTACAATCGCCTATAGATTGGCGATAGCGAATTTGTGTAAATAACTATAATAGTAGAATGTATGGACTTTGTTGGAAACTTAGGCAGATTATAATACCAACATTGATTTGTTAGATAAAAAAAAGAAACCTTAAATTGTTGGGTGGTAACTATTACACAACATTAAACCGAATTTGCACTACATTAGTGTTTTAGTCGAGTAGCGAGTATTTAGTAGCTCTCTTCGCTTCTGTCCCAAAATTAAAGCGAGAGAAAGAGAGAGAGATCGAAAAAAAATAGTCGGTACTCGACTGATATACTAGCGTAGTGCAAACAAGGTGTTATAACCTTTACACACGCATGTCGTATTAGGAGTCGACTTCACACTACACATTTACGGAGATCGGGTAGTGCTTTCTGATTCCAATTCTCCTTTCCTCCCAGGCGTGGAGGTTAAAGTTAACTCTTTTATGAATTATCCAGAACCTCAATGGTTTTGTACACCTACACTTACTTTGTTCGCATTTTGGACCTTTCCAAGCAAACAAAAAATTTCCTTACCGGAAAAAAGGATGAATAGAATTTAAAGAGTGAATGAATATCTATCTATTCATCTATTTACCCAACTCCTGTATCTACGGGAGTGGAGTGAATAGATCTAAGAACGTTTTTCTAACATTTATTCACTCCTCTTCTATATCTATTCACCCTTTGAATACTATTCACCCTGTTATACTATACTTTTCCCAATTTAGGAACTGGGTCATTTTCGACTAATGAGAAAATGGGGGCAATGACTTTCCTCAATAATAAACATAACATAACATCATAATAACGTCAATAATAGATAAATGACACAGGCCTCTCCTATGGCGTACCATAGGAGAGGCCTAGGGCGCGAAAGGCGCATTTACTTCGACCAGAGTGGCAATATTTTAAAAAAATGTCAAATTAAAAGTTCCTTCAACCGACGAGCATGCATGAAAAGACTGATGACTGTGGAGGGAGGGAAAAAGGTATGTAAGAATCGTAGCAATTGGCGTTCCATAGTCTCTGCCTACCCTCATGGGAAACAGCCGAGACTGAGGTTATGTTTGTATGTATGTATATAAGGAAAATTAAAGTGATTTACAAGTGTGAACGACCTCCACGTTATTTTATTCCTTCATCGAAGTATAATTTATTCAGTTTACTTGGTGAACACCGTCTGCTATTGACATTCATATTGGCGGCGTGGTGTTATGACATAATAAAAATAATTCTTACCGTCATCTTACTACTGTGTAGGAAGTTTGGCATGTCGTTTGCATTTTATAAATACTGGTATAGTACATGCTATTAAGGAATTTCATTTAACCTGCTTTAAAACATTCACCTAGGCCCTTTCATGTCGCGGAGAACCTAACGGGTAACCGGGGCTCCGGCTCGACGTGCAGGAGAAGGAACGGGGTGGTTTTTAGTCAGTAAGAGTCTGACACTCCCTCCCGCCTCACCCAGGCGGGAGCAGTCATTCGATGATTTCCCCCCCTTAAAAAAAGGTCCTATTATGGTCATCAATAGACTCGTCACAAGGACTCCTACCTACTTAAGGAAACATAAGGAACTAGTCGGTCTTTTGGAAACGTACAGATTCCTATAAAAGATGGTGAACATGCCATTAATGAAGTAGGCTCTACTAGGTATGTAGACTAGATAGCGCAATTAATTGAATAATAATTGTAGGTCGCTTATCCTAAAATGGAAGCAAGTTATGCGAGTTTAAATCATTAATGCAATGATTCACTTTGATAATATTCCGCCTCTAAAACCGCAGTGGAGAGCAATCCTCCCAAAAAATCCTTCGACAAACAACAAGTAATCCATTAAAACAGAACCGTTATCATCTCAGACGTTTGCTAAAACGTAGTAATGTCAACATTACAATGCAAACTGCATTAAGACCCACGCTAGCCAATCAATACTGCTTATAATAAATTCATTGCCACGCCTAGGAAGCGCTGACAAATCAAAAGTAAGGAGCGAAGCCCACACTTGGAGCGCCGGCCGCGGTGAGGCACACCGCACCAACACAATGTGACCGCTCGCTTAGTGCCATGCTCGTCATCAGACTGGACACAAGCGTTTGTGAGAAAATCCAGTTCAGTGATACGAATTTTCATCGCCATATTTATCAACACGCCTTATATAGACACACCAGACATGTCTAAGCTGACCGTGACGAATTTCACGAAGCGAACTGGAAGCCCGTTCCAGAAAGCCAAAGAGACTCAGGAGGATATCAAAATAGTGCACGAGGAAGTCATCGAGAAGACTACTTTTGAAAAACAGAAAGAGAAGCAGAATGAATTAATACAGAAAGTGACGAAGAAGACAGCGGAGTACCAGTCAAACAAACCAAGTTCTGGCGTGTTTACCGAAGTGGTTTCCCATGGTGCCTTCACTTCAAAGAACAGGAATACAAACACTACGGCTAATGCTACACCGATAGCTAAAAGTCCAACTCCACCGAAGTCAAACGGATCAAATGGCTCCAAATCCTTGCTTGGGTTTCCATCATCAGCTAACGACTTAGCTCTAGACGCAAAAACGGATCTAGAATCAGACCCAAACATATCAAAAGCGGTGAAGGACAAAGTAATAGAGAAACTATTTGCCCTCGTCTCGATGGTACAACACACGTACGAGTCTAAAGTGAGAATAATGACAGAATTCGAGAAGTACAAGGATACACACACGAAGAATGAAATAAGAAGAGAGAAGGAACATTCAGAACAATTGTACAAGCTTAACATGAATTTCCAAAACGAAGTCGTTCAAGCGATACAGAGATTGAAGAGTGAATTGGATATAACAAGAAATGTGAGTGAAAACATTGAAGATAGGTCTAGGAGTGGTGATTTGAAAGATACTTCAGATTTTAATGTCTCTGGGGTCCAAGAGCTTGATTTAAATGAGCAAGGTGAGGATACAGTGGACCTGACATTGGAATCGAGTAACGATCGAGTTGAAAGTGAGAATAACGACAGTGATGCACTTAAGAATGAATAATCTAAGAATGTATGTACGTACAAGAATTAATAATAATCTTAGTCATTAATAAATTAATCTTTGTAGTTCCTGGTGTTTTATTTAGTAGTGTAAATAGTTTAGTCTAGATGATTACAGTACATGGTAATGTGTTGATGCTAAAGTACCGTTGTATAATGATTTCTAAGTAATTTTCTTAAGGATGTTTTCCTTGGCAGAGGGCCAAAGTGTAAATATTTGAAATTCTTTGTTCTAGGTTCTTGAAACTAAGAAAACTAGATTTTTGAGTTACGATTATTTATTTCTCAATGTTAGTCACAAGATAATGATTTTCCTTTCGTTTTCCTATTCTGATGCTTCTGATTAATCCAAAACTTTCTTCAGTTTTGAACAGTAACAAATAAAATACAGTACATAGACAGATAGACACGGAGAGTAACAATGAATAATATATCAGTTTTTTTAATGACATTGGTCAACTAAGTTCGATTTTAAGATCAACATAGCACATTGCAAGTAGCTGTTGATTAAATAAGTCAAGGTTAAGCAGTGGTAATGAGCGGAGATGGGTAGGCGTGAGTGGGAGCCCAGCATACTTAACGATGACGAATTTACATATTCATTTTATGATGTAGATTTAGTAATTCTTTCCAAGCTGTCAACGTATATGTGAACAGCGCCATCTCTTGTTTGTAGACAGAACTACATTCAGTTTTTACATGTTTATTATGGTTTTTTTTTATTATTTTGGGTGGGTTCTTTTGAATGAGAATTCATATCGTCCTTATGTAGCTTTTAAATAATAGACCAATGCTGTAATCGATGATTTAACTCGTCGAGTACCGGTTTTGTAGACACAATTATAGAACAATAGGTTGCGGTCACCGGTGACCGCTTGGTGTTTGACAGTTTAAGCAGCTTTTTATATGCGTTACCGTCACAAATTAATTAATATTATATTTAAGTAAAAACGCGGGTTACTCACGTGAATATACTGAGAAAAGCTCTACTAGTTTCGAACCACAGAGGGTTTCTTTCTCATCTCGCTGCTCATCTCAGTATATTCACGTGAGTAACCCGCGTTTTTAATTTAACTTAGTATGTCTCACGATAGGGATTATAAAAAAATTATTATATTTAACTGTCTTGTTTTTTTAATCGAGTGTTAACTGACTGGAACTTTCCGAGTTCGATACTCTGGTAGCTACATAAAGAGTCAGATTTCCGGAATCGAGTACTTAGTATCCTAAATTTTATTTTAAAACATATAAAACATATTTTAAAACATATCTTAAACCATGACACACATTTTTTCTTTTCTTACAAACATACTTTCGACGATATATTGATCAGAAATATCGTGTGACGTCATTTACTACATTTTTTAGGGTAGCGTAACGTAGCGACCTTCCACTACTAAACGTTTTATCTAAGTATTATTTTCTTAAACAAAAACAAAACTCGACAAAAAAATATGTGTCTAATATTTGAAGTCGTGCATGAACTCTGGAGTTTTACTCAGTGTATAATGATTAACAATTGATAGGTACTTGTAACTTGTGAAAAGTCTTTCATCAATTTAAACTGTATGTAATGTAATACATTGCATCACGCCCTTCATGTAAATTAGAATACCTAAATATAGACCGCTCTAGTCACAGCTAGGGGAATAACTGATTCCTATGACGTCATAATATTAATTTTAGTGGAACTACTATGAATTTAATCCCCCCGTATCTATTTTAGGTATGTATGTACTGAAATTTAGGTCTATGTGAAGTACCCGATTAATCAACAGTTCTGGTAAATTATTGATAACAAACGCATTTCAAAAGTGCTAGAGTTTTTAATCATTTACGTCACTTATGATTTTTTTATTTTATACCTACAGGGTTTTATTGTTACGCTTGACATAGGTAGATAATGCTAATGTTTCATGAAGGGTTATTCAAGGCATCAAAAAAAGCTTACTTGTGGAGAGAATTCAAAAGCCACTCATTGACATTGATTGGGCATGATTTTAGTCATCAAATTACATCTTCAACATTGTTATCCACTTGTTTGCCTGTCGTCAGTTACAAAAACATGGGAAATCGACGAAATGGATAGGTATTAATTTCAAATGCTATGCTAATTTATCAAATAAAAAAAAATTGCATTCTGATGATACTGAAGTTAAACTAACGTGTGGTTTTAGGATCTATATAAATAAAAATATATTCTCGTTCGTTCTCGCTAAAGCTCGAGAACAGCTGTACCGATTTTTCTAATTTTGGTCAGTGGTGGAAGTCCAGGGACGGTTTAAAAGGCAAGAAAAAATTATTAGGCAGCACGAAGTTTGCTGGGTCAGCTAGTCTTAGATAAAGGTCACATCACAGTACCGACATCTTAAAACTATGGAGACATTAAATGGACATTTTATAGTTACATCTCCGTTAACTACGAACACAGTAATCAAAACAAAACATAAACAAAAAAATCAAAACAAACCGGTCAAAACCAGTTTGATTCGCGTCCAAACTAGTTACTAAAACATTTTAATATCAGAATCTCATGAACGAAATGAACGTGTGTCAGTATTTCGATTGCTAATTGAAGATTCCTGCTAACAGCGACTGAATGAAATGAGGAAAAACCAAACGACAAAATATATCGCAAATAAGTTTACTGTATGACAACTCATTTGCTTCATTTGGTTTGAGAAAACCGGCTTTGCAACACGCAAGTCGTTTATTTACACTGAATTTTATAAACAGTGATTTATTTTGAGTGTTTGCTAAAGATATTTTTAAAATAAAATGTTGTGGTTTGTGCTACTATGATAACCTTTTGTGTCGAGTGACTTTGAATTGAACATTTGTTGTTGTCTTGGATTGACTTCAAGTTTAGCAGGTAAATTGTGATTTCTCTGGCCATTGTTTTTAATGAACGAAATAAAGTTAAAGAATTAAGTTAAATGCTGAAAGAATCTTAACATAATATGATTTAAATGTAACCTAATTTGCCTACTTTAAACATTAGCTTTGCACCCTTTCTAAATATGCATAATTGTCAATTTTATGTGCGACTTAATATTGTGAAAAAAATTAATTGGGACCATATAAGTAGGTACATTATTATACTTATTTAAATTGACATTGAACCTATAGTTAACTTACACACAGACACAGATAGATGGTTATTCATAAATGACAAACGATAAAAACAATTGACGCAGTAATTCTGTAACCTAAAGAAAATAATAATAGATATTTCGTAATAGTGAGTAATAATGTTTTAACAGACAAATCATCTGTGATTTCAGATATGGCTGCCTACAGAGCTGCTCTAGTCGCGTTATCAATGTTGGCTATCGTTGAAGCAAAACCAAAATGCAAAACGTTTGCAGATAACGTAGTCTGCACAGCCGGGACCTCAGATTATGAACTTGTAAGAGGCCTTGTGTCCGATAATAACAAAACAACAGGAATAACTCTAAGAGACTGTAGAATAACTGACGTTGAATACGAGTCGTTCAATGATCTTAATTCGTTGACGTACCTGGACTTATCTATGAACAAGATACGGAGGTTAAAACTTGGTGTTATAGATGAACCTAAGAAGTTAACGTACTTAAATCTCTCTTACAATGAACTCACCGAATTTCCTCTGGGACTTTTTGACCAAATTAAGAATCTAGACCTTATAGATTTGAAAGGAAACAAAATTAACAAACTCGAATTGGGAATATTCGATACTCTACCCAAGTTGAAGTTTGTAGACTTGTCAAGCAATGCTTTTGTAGGCAAAGATTTTAATCCTTACATATTTGACCAGAGCCCACATATTACATTTATGGATTTTTCAAGAAACAACATGGAAGATGCACCTGAGAATTTACTGCATGCATTTCAATCTTTAGAAACTTTGAACTTGGACAGATGTTTTTTAAGTAAAGTTCCAGAATTCGCAACTAAGGCCAATTTGAGAACTATGAAACATTTGATTTTATCCACAAATCAAATTACTAGTCTGGATAACGCTGCCACTTTTGTAAATCTGGAAAACTTACAACAACTGGATTTAACAGCGAATATGCTTGAGACGATCAACCCCAACATACTGTCGCCACTAAAACATCTACAGAAAGTGGACTTAAAAAATAACAAAATTGCAGTCATTCCAGACAACCTTTTCAAAAATTTGCCGAAATTGATAACAATAGACTTATATGGAAATCAACTACAAAATGTTCCAGTAAACGCTTTAAGAGGAATTCCTTTGAAAAATTTAAATATAGCAAACAATAAAGTGACATACTTACAAGATAACTTTTGCCTCGAACTGAGAAATTCAGGGGGAAAAATAAAGAAATTATTGTTTGACCCAAATCCATGGCAATGTGCTTGTCTCCACGACTTGTTGAAAGAAGTCAAAAGACTTGGAATTGAATACAACAGTGGTAAATATGATGGGAAGCGTCCAGTTTGTGTTTCAACATCTGAGTTTACTTGCAAACGCCAGGAAAGTGTAAATGACTTGTATATTGAAATGTTTAATGAAGCTAAAAGTAAGTATTTTAAACAACAGAAAAAGAAATAATAACGCCATCTATGAAACAAAGGAAGAACTAAATATCAGATGGATATGCATGCGGGAACAGCGACATCTGTTGTTGTGTAATGTAAACATGAGTTCACTAGTTCTTAGTTTTATCGTAGGATGTCTCTGATTAAGACTGAAGTTTCACATTACGTTTTAAGTTTTAGTTAAATTTTATTTTGTTTTGCTCAATCAAGGTATTTCAAGGAATTGAAAAAACCCTTTTTCCCAACTGAGTAGGCATATTTACGACTGCATTTTGCCACAAATGTGCTCTATGTAAATAATAGTGGGCGAAATGCCTCTAAGAAAACATTACAGGTTGTTTAAATTCTTTTTGATACTTATAAACTCATTACATAAAAAAACCTTTTTGTATGATTTTATCTAATTTATGTCCTAAAGAAACTATAGTTTTATTATTCCACAAATGTTTAAAACTAAAATAGCTACGAATTAATATACTTTTAAAACTCAATTTGGCAAATGAACTAATAATCGTAAGCAATGTTTTGCGGGCATCATTATTGTTAATCGTTTTCTATTCTTCTATAAACTATAATAGACTAATCTTATTTTTATAGTTTTAAGTCAATTTCATAGATTTTGAAACCACACACTTGAGATCAGAAAAAAATATGCGAGACCCTTCTTGTTTAAGGGTTCTGCAGAATTAAACAAATATAAATTGTGTTATATAAAAATATTTGTGTGAACTTATTAATTAAGTGAATAAGAGAAGAACTATCAATACGATCAAATTATTATACTGAATAAAAACAAAGTTGTAGTCTTTGAATTTAAATTTTGTTTTACCATGGCATATATGTCAATGACGACTAAAGACGTGTGACGTTAATTTTAATTAGGTACAATGATAGGTAAAATTTCTTCTATCGTGCATTCGTAGCTATTACCTATAACAAGTAGAGTACCTATACTCTGTGAGGTTCTTAACTTTTTACCCGACTGTAGGAAGGGTATTGTTTTTAACGTAATTTATTCATCAAACGGCATAATACTTAGGTACCACCACATTAGTTCACTAGAATCTACTTTAGTAAACTTCCTAACACGGAAGAGATCGCTATCATTACGGCGGGACCCTAAAATATCAAAACACGTGCAAGAAATTTATAAAACCAACATCTGCGAAATCGTATAACAAAATTTCTTTTGAACTCTTGATAAAAAATACGGGGTCCGATGTTTTTTAGCGTTTACACATCCGATAGATTCGGCTAGCGTATGTGACGGGCCTACGGTATACGGCGTGATGCGTTTTTCGACCCAATGTTATTTTAGCAATGTTGGGTTTAGATACAGCTATGTATGTGCAAATAAGGAACTCTCGGTGGTTTCTGTTTCTGCTTACTTTCCTCCATGAGGCAAGGGAATAAGTTTATGTATGTCAACTAATTCATTCATTGATTATGTGGGTTTGCATGGCACGGCTATTTACGTAACCGTACGTTATGATGAAAATAAAGATGATGATATGATAATAGAGAATATTTGTTTGTGTTTTCAGTTACTTTAGGTATGTTTCTAATTTAATCAATGATTAACAAAACATAATTTATATTAAGTACTTATAGTAACACATAAACATAAAAGAACTTGAAGTTAAATATGTTATATGTTCAAGATCATAATCTGTTTCATCGAAACATTTAATTTTACACACATTTTATCTAATCAAAGAAACTAGCCAACACAACAAATTGTGTATTTTATCACAGACTATAAAATCAACCTGTAGGTTGCACCTAGAATTTAGATAACTCAGGTAAAGAATAAAAAACGTTTTTTCGTAATAAATACCTCAAACGCATTAATTATCTCTGGCACGAGATCGCAACATTTTTTTTAGTTTTTTTTTTTTTATAATCTTGCTGCGTTCCGCGCCATTTGGCTGCACATCACATTATGCCTATAAAGCCAGTTTTTTTTTCTAAATTTTGAGCGCTGGAAATTGATTTTGGATGTCAAAATGATAGGAAGATTGGCTTGTGTGAATATATAGTATGTACTGCGCGAATTACATCTCTCAAGTTGCAGGTGCTTACTGATTTTCATTAGGTGAATTGTATGCTTGTTTGGTATCTCACTGGCGTACAGAAGCTGTCTCTAACGTAGTATCTCGAATTGTGATTCTCCGTGAATCTATTAAGAAATGAACATATTGCTAGGACTTGTCGTATCGGCAGTGTGGCTTTCAGCCGCTGATGAAGATGACGATATCGCTAGTCTTGGTATAAATTGCTAAAAGAGTCTAATAAATAGGGTTTTCTAAAGATAGTAACGGTGAAAACTTTCATTGTAAACTTCCAACTTTGACGTAGGTATACGTCAAGACTTTATTCCGATCTTTAATTAGTGAATATCGATCGATATCGTGAAAGCTACAAATAAATCAACGGACATTTCGACAGAAACCTATTGATTATTTTGCGGTTTGCATAATTTAGGCATTCAGTTTACCTAATAATAACTCCTTAAAACTCGGTTGCCAAAGAAGAAAAAAAAACTCCTTAAAAGCTCCAACTACGAGTGAAAAAGAAAATGTTTTTATAGCAGTAGGTAGTGTGTTTGTATACACACTTGTGTCTCGGCTTCGCAACTGGTTCGGTGGCGCCCTACCAGTTACGTTCACGACATTACCTAGTCTTAAATCCAATTATCTATCTATCCAATACACAACAACTGCTCTTCAACCACAGATGTTTACATTTAAACCTAACAATAATGGACACTTTCTACGCCAGAATTAGGCGCGAAATCGCAAAGAAAGCAAAAGTACGCGCGCCGGTGCAGCTGACATGGCACGAGCCGCATCCGACTTAATTGTTGCCATGATAATAATAAAAAAATACCAAAAAACTGTGATAAAAAGGTACAATTTGGCAAGGAAGTTAAAAAGACAGGAAGAGGCGGCCATCTTGCGGCTACTTCCGCGGTTTCGTGATCGCGTTAGATTAGTGTGGATGCGATGTTTTATGACAAAAGTATTTTTGTTCTATGCCAATAAGTTAATAGGTAAAGTTCCATTTTTTTGTAGGACCCCAATTGCTTCAATTAGGTAACTTTTTATTCGCAACATTTATCATGATATGGATTAGAGAAATGTGTTATTTTAGAGATGACTACCTAGTTTTTTTGCAAACGACCCTGGGTAAGTATAGAATGTAGTGCTAAGTAAAAATAGGTGTAATATTCATGGTATACGTATCTTGTTAGTTAACTGGTTTTCTTATTATAATTCTGCAATTTATTCGAGTATTGCTTCAGGATATTGAATATTAACTAAGCTACTGAATTAGTAACGCTACATTTCTTTAATGTGTTTTTACGCAACTAAAGTACCTATTAGTACGTGCAGGTTTATAAGAGTAGTGGCGACTGTATTTCATTCTAGTATTTTTCTAGGCATTTTTATACTTTTACTTAGATATCTTTTATTTGCCAATAAATGGGTCTATTATGTCGATCATTACATGTAATGCGTCACTGGTCAGATGATTTCGGTAGAGATCTCGAGTTCGATTTCCAAATTTGGCAAAATATTAATATATCATTTTAGAATTTCTCTGGAGCAGCGTGGAGTCTAGATTGGAGCTTAGTGCTTGACAAGGTTTGCTGCATATAACTTTAAGTAACTATAGTCGGTGGTAGTGGTAGTAACGACATACCATAATACAAACAATAGGTAGATAAAATATTTATCATTGTGAATAGGAATGATGTTTTAATATCTTCCAGCCACGACTAAATTACCTAAGGTAAAACACTTGAAAATGTAAATACAGACTTATTAATAAGCTGACTGAAGCTGAGTATATTTGACAAAAAAACTTAACAGTAAGATATTCTTATATTAAAACAAGTGTTGCAATTTTCACCGTTAAATAAATAAAATTTAATTAAATATTAATTTGAGACAGTGTCCCGTTATTTTTGAATTAATTGCTCCAGCAGTAGACAATATATGTCCTTCATGACAGTACAGTTATGTTTTCTTAGCTGATTTTAATGCATGTATTAACGTGTCTCTGCTAATTAAAATTATGGGATCACGTGTAATTTCATTTAGAGTTAAAAATTCTGCTATATCAGTTGTTTTGCGATATTTGCACTGTTTCTTGTAGGTTATGGATCGGTAGTAAAAAATATATGGAACATAATATTGTTGTATTTGTTGTATTAATTTACATACATATTGAAAATACTGAATTGTTTGTTTATGCTGAACTTGGAAGCTTGTGTTTAATCGTGGACTTTGACTACCAATAAAAGAAAAGTGAGTATTCCAAATCATTGATAAAAAATAGAATATTAAACTTCTAATGTTATAAAAAAGCAAACCAAATCCCATAATTCTAGTTTTATACATCATTTTTCGCATAGACATCTCATCCGCACTATGACAACGCTACAATAAGGACCATACACTTTTTTCTTAATTTGATCAACAATTGTTCAGATCATAATAACACACACTAGTCGAGAGAAAAGAGAATTAAAAAAAAAGTGTGGCTCGTGCTTACAACCTTTTTGCGTTTTTTCTGCCATAGATTGATGCCATTTGCTTTTTTATTTCTTTGTGTTTTCGCCCGATGCAGTGAAATTAATTTGGGAAACATGTGTTTGTGACAAGAGGATAGTTCGACAGATGCAGAAAGCGAAATTCTCTTAACATATTTCCAGAATAAAAAATGAGAGTGGTTTAATAATGATCTGCGTTTTTAATTGTATTAGGTACTTATAAATTTTTAACCATCTAAAAGCTGACTAGTCAAATCTTTCGATTAATGAGTAGTCAGGAATTTAACAGTCGTTGTGTGCGTTAAAAAATTATAGTCTTAGTAACAATATCGTTGGCGAATGTTGGACTATGAGCAGTGGCGTAACTATACCGTTTGGGACCTGTGGCAAATTCATCGGACGGGCCTCCGTTCCCAATAAATGTAGAGAAGTTCAGATGAAAACTTCTGGACGGGGTCCCTTCTAGCGGGGGCCTGTGGCATTTTACTGACTCACTACCCTGTAGTTACGCCACTGACTGAGTCACCTCTACATCAGAGATAATTCAACACACAACATCAACAGCCTATAAGCACTGCTGAGCAAAGGCGTCTTCTGACACGGAGAAGGTTTGAGATACGGGCTGGTGCTGAAAATCAGCGCCGTGGACTCGAGCCTTCGTGTCCGGTCCACGGTATTAAGCTGAGCTCCGGCCTTTTGCCCTACGACGCGCCATGGGCATTTTGTGAACCTAAATTCCTGTTGTGTGTCGCGGCATAATATATGGTTTTTCTTTCTTTAATCACAACACTTGGTCAATGCGGGTTGGCGATTTCAAACTCACGATGTTTTCCTTCACCGTTTCTCAGTGGTGATATACATAATCTTAGAAAGTACTTATAGCTCGGAAAATTCACATTGGTACTTGCCGTTGGTAGATTTCGGACCCGCGACCTCATGTATGACAGGTTAGAGAAGGTGCCACAATTTTTTTTTTTGCTAAAGCCGATAAACGACCCGACGGATCACCTAATGGTAAGCAGTCAGCGTCGCCCATGGATACCCGGATCACCAGAAGTGTTATAATTGCATTACCGGTCTTTTGGGGATTAGAAATTATAGAATTGTTGGGGATTCAGGGATTGGGGAGATCGTGAGTGGAGAGGGTATTTGGGCCTCCGGTAACCTCACTCACACGCCGAAACACAACGCAAGCGTTTTTTCACGTCAGTATTCTGTGAGGCCGTGGTATCACGGTCGAGCCGGCTCATTCGTGCCGAACCATGGCTCTCCCACACTTATTAAGTGTCCATCCAGAAGTGTAGAGGTGATGACAAAATTAAATGTAGGTCCTTATTCTACTCACCACACGGCTTTTTATCTTATTAGTCCAACGGCCAGCATTACATCTTTAACTTTATTGCATTGACATGAAGTCGAAAATCCAATGAATAAATTTGACCGATTGGAGTAGGTTAGGCTGCTGGCCACTGTAAAAAAAAAATAAACGAAAAGAAAATGAAGTCTAAACTCTTATCTTTTGAAATGTCAGCAACATTCATTTGCAATTAAACTATTAACATTTCAACAAACATACGGCTCGATAAATTAACTGGCAATTATTATAACTTGTATGTTGTATGAAATAATACAGTAATTATTGATATGTATTTGAATTTAAGTATTATAGATGGTAAAACGATAAAAGTGGAGATGTGTACCTAATAAATAGATAATATATTGTGCAAGGCGGTAATTAAGTCATTATAAAGGTAGCAAGTTTATATGTTCAGTTTCCAATAAAAAGTGGAGAAGTTCAGATGTAAACCTCTGTACCGGGTCCCTTCTAGCGGGGGCCAGTGGCATTTTGCTGACTTACCACCCCGTAGTGACGCCACTGACTGAGTCTCCTCTACATCAGAGATGATTCAACATACAACATCAACAGCCTATAAGTAGCTA